AACAACCAATTACACAAACAGTACATTGTAATTGCTCCGAGCTACTGCTTCTTCTATGGTTGCAGACCAGTAAATAAACTTCCATAGGCCCCAATGGTAAATGCTCCCACTTCAGAAATTCGGGGAAAATACTCACATCTTTCCAAGGTATTCAAGACACACATCAAATTAAAGCTTATTTCATCATCTTTCATTTTCTTTTCAATTTTTCGGGGGTCAACTGATGACTTTTAGGAGAAATTTCCATCCCAAGATGATCACCCCTGAAAATAATCTAGTCCTGAAGCCCATCGCCATTCAAACGATGCCTACGCTCCTTCCAACCCCAAATTACCCCCCCCCCCCCCCCCCTTGTTCGCTCGAAATTGCTGTGATCGGACAACGGTCTATCGGTCCCATTCAGATTTTGGGCGCATTTGTTGCGGAACCGCTGTCGTGGAAACACTGTCGTGGAAAGTAAAGCACAGGCGCGCACACACATTTTGACAACAAACGATGGAAAGCGCCATTTTGAAATTAAACGTTGCAGACCAGTAAATAAACTTCCATAGACCCCAATGGTAAATGCTCCCACTTCAAAAATTCGGGTAAAATATTCACAACTCTCCAAGGTGTTCGAGACACACATCAAATTAAAGCTTATTTCATCAGCTTTCATTTTCTTTTCAATTTTTTAGGGGTCAACGGATGACTTTTAGGAGAAATTTCCATCCGAAGATGATCACCCCTGAAAATAGTCCTGAAGCCCATCGCCATTTTGAAAAATGATGCCTACACTCCATTGCAAAATAGAGCGCTTTAAGGGCCCCAATTTCATCCAAATTGAACGGAACTACAAGCTCACAGTCCTGTGCACGGCTTCCACCCATATTTTTTTACAAACCCTCAAGTTCATGGCCCACAGCATGCTCAAATACTGAAGATTTTCAGGGCATGCAAATCGTGAATCGGCCGGCGTAGGCAATTTCGGACCGATAAAGTAGCGAGGTTTTGAAAAATTCCCCCAAACCACTTGTACGAACGGCACAAGGAAGGATGGATGACAACTCATATTTCATCAAAAAATTGCGAGAAAAAAATCTCTGGCCTGAAAACAAGCCCTCTGTTTGCGGCTGCCTTGCTGTAGGGCGTCCCCAACGGGAGTTAATTGAGTTTTTGCTCCTTCCAACCCCAAATTACCTCCCCCCCCCCTTCTTCGCTCGAAATTGCTGTGATCGGACAACGGTCTATCGGTCCCATTCAGATTTTGGGCGCATTTGTTGCGGAACCGCCATTGGTGACCCCTTTTGAAACGCTGCCCCCCCCCCCCCCCAGGTCCCCCCGCCCCCTGAAAAAAACACTATCGTGGAAAGTAAAGCACAGGCGCGCACACACATTTGACAACAAATGATGGAAAGCGCCATTTTGAAATTAAACGTTACAGACCAGTAAATAAACTTCCATAGACCCCAATGGTAAATGCTCCCACTTCAAAATTCGGGTAAAATATTCACAACTCTCCAAGGTGTTCGAGACACACATCAAATTAAAGCTTATTTCATCATCTTTCATTTTCTTTTCAATTTTTCGGGGTCAACTGATGACTATTAGGAAAAATTTCCATCCCATGATGATCACCCCTGAAAATAGTCCTAAAGCCCATCGCCATTTTGAAAAACGATGCCTACACTCCATTGCAAAATAGAGCGCTTTAAGGGCCCCAATTTCATCCAAATTGAACGGAACTACAAGCTCACAGTCCTGTGCACGGATTCCACGCATATTTTTTACAAACCCTCAAGTTCATGGCCCCCAGCATGCTCATATACTGAAGATTTTCAGGGCATGCAAATCGTGATTTGGCCGGCGTAGGCAATTTCGGACCGATTTACTGGTCTGCAACCCTATACATGTACATGTATAATTGCTGCCGGCAGAGGGCGGAAACACAATGTGCAAAAGGGTACATGTAAATGTACAGGTGTGTTTCAAAGCAGACAAGACAAAAATACATTGTATATCTGATTGTACAAAATTTCATGCGGATTTTGGCCCTTTCGATAACATAATTTTGGATGGATTATCTTTAAAAGTACATAGGATCATACGCTTTTGTGCGGTTTTTTTTTCAGTATGAAACAATAAGTTGCTGAAAAATCTTTAGTTGGGTGCGTAGCATCTTCCTTGTGGAAACTTTAGCTCATAATGTGGATACCATTCATTTTGAAAACCCAGAGAAAACCTATGCACAATGCACGTGAAAATAATAATGTACTCGCGGCCACTCTTTCTTCAAACCACCTGCATTTTTTGCTAATGATACCATTTTAGGTGGAATAATTTCGCAGGGTACATGCATTTGGTACCAGTCCTATCTTCACGAGGAGTTTCTCGTTAAATCGGTAATTGCAAATGTTCCCACGCACCTTTGACCAATGACCAGTATATGTGTCCCATAATATATACATGAACATGTACATATACATGTATTTTGTTTCATCATCTATATATATAAGAGAGAGTTTAACTCGGCCTCCGAGACGATGTTTGCTCATGAAAGGATCCGAGACCGCGGGCTCCCGCGGCGCCAAAATCGCTCCACGTCCGTGGAAAAATACGGAGGGTGTCTTCCGCCGGGTCGGACACTTCGGGTCGTCCTGATTTTCCCGTACGGACCGGCGATCCTTTTCGTCTATTTTTCGTGACAGCATTTTGCACAGGAATTTTCCGTCGTGTGCGCTTTCACGTTGACTGCCTGGCCGCCCCCTGTGCTGGCTTTTCTGCGAGTCTAGACGGTGCGAGGTCAGCGAGGTCAACGTAGGGGTTTCGTTTACGTGTTCTACTCAGCCGTACTGCCAAAGCGTTCACCAAATTGTGATATGGGGTGACCTTGGTAAAATATTTTTTCTCCATGGTGCGTGGCCACCGAGTGCCCCTATTCTTTCATATGCTTCGCTTGCCGCCCCTGCGCCGAGTGCAACGAATACTCAGAAGGACTACACATTAAGTATGCCTTGCGCGGTCTGACCAATCGAAAGTCTACACTGCGTAGTATATCCGGGCTATACAAAACTGTCGATGGCAACGCGTACTGCAGCCTGCTCCACACCCTGGAAACGAGGTTGGGTCTACGGTGCTCGCTATTTGCATGATTTGAAGCACAAGCATGTGAGTGACGTGTATAGTGCTCTGTTGCTTCCATCGTGTGTTGATACAGCTCCATGCTTCCACCAAGGCTGAGCGTTGTGAGTTCGCTGCCCGCCACAGTGTTGCGTTATAATTTCGGGGTCTGGGATCAACAAAGGATCGATGCATTGCTTCAAACATCGCGATCTTAAACGCAGTCACACAAAAAATCAACGAAAATGTGTCCGATCCGGCGGAAGACACCCTCCACATTTTTCCACGGACGTGGAGCGATTTTGGCGTCGCGAAAGACCGCGGTCTCAGATCGTTTCAGGAGCAAACATTTCTCGGAGGCCGAGTAAAATTTGCTCTTATATAGATGGTTGACCCAAGTTGAATAACAGTTGACTCGACAAGTTCCTCGCAGACAGTCTCGCAAATTGTAAGACGTTCAAGTTTACGTTTGTTGAAGAGTCCAATATACTGAAACTTAATTATGACCTTCTTAATCAGCCTTCGCCTGTGTACTACGGCAAGCCTTTCAAGTACGTTTTCTCACAAATGCCACTGCCTCACAAAATGCCAATTTAACAGACCAAAGGGAACATTTACAGACTGTTGCCATGGTACATAATTATCATGGGCGTCAATTGGTGGGGGACGGGGAACCCCTCCACCCCCCCCCCCCCCATTTTAAAGCGGTGGAGACTTTTTTGGTCCCCCCCCCCCCCCACTTTTCTTCCCCGAATAAAAATTGTAGCTACTACATGTATAATGATTCCATTACTCAGAATAGCTGATTCAATGACACCAAACTCGAAAATGATGTTTAAAAGATGATCTTCGTTTTCCAAATGCGACTGCCTCACAAAAAGCCAATTTAACAGACCAATGGCAACATTTACAGACAGTTGCCATGGTACATAATTATCATGTGCGTAAATCGACGGGGGACGGGGAACCCCCCCCCCCCACACACACACACACACACCCCCACATTTTGAGGGGGGACATTGTTTGGTCTCCCCCCCCCCCCCCCCACACACACTTTTTCTTCCCCGAATAAAAATATTGTAGCCTACAATAATGATTCTATTGTTCAGAATACATGTAGCTGATTCAATTACTCAAAACTCAAAACTTTCACAGATGATCTTTTGCTCAAATTGGTTTTAGTGATCAGAAATTGCCTCAGATCACACCACAGAAATTGATATTCTTTAACTGCATGTCTCACCAACTATATCCCCCATTTACATTTAACTCCCCACATTTTCATCCCCAACACTATGCCCTACCCGATCTATGATCGGGTAAACCAGCTTGTATACCATAAGCCAATGTTCTCCCGCTACCTCAGTGATACACAAAATACTTATGTACCACAAGAAAATTATGAAGCCCATGCAGTGTATTTTTTTAAATACTCTCCTTGAAATGTACATTATGTTTAACTCTCGTTTTGCCATTTTGAAGGCAATTTTGATGGCTTTTTGTTTCTTAAGCTAATGAAAATTTCCATATTCATGAGCAAAACTGTGATGTCATTCCGGGCAGAAACCTCAACGTTACAGCTATTTCAGCACAAAAAGTTGCTAGAATTTTGGATATTTTGCTTTCATAAATTTTCTTATCTTTGGTGATTTGATGTTGTGTCAGTACATGGCAGTAAGTCAATGAGCAACCCCTTCTCACAAATGTTTTCAACGAGCAAATGTTGGTTTCACAAATTGAACAGAAATCTCCTAAACGGAACAGTGTCTTCCTGAAACGACATCACTGCAACAGCGCCCTCAGTTGTCCCGAAAAGCACGGTGAAAAATGTTAAAGGTTCAAAGAAGTGCACTTTTCAAAACAATATTAACCAAAAAGAGATGTCAAATAGTTTTCATACATTTAAGTTGCACACAATGTGTTCCTCAGAAAATTTTATCGTGTGAACCCTTTAAATACAAATTACCAATCTTAATTGGGGGTTTTGGCGACTTAAAATTTCTTAATGATCTTTTGTCCTTATTATTACCATTTTGTTTCGACTTTAGTACAATATCACACACAGTGCATTTAAACATCTTCAAGCAAGTGCGACTGATTTCCTTTTCATCAACTGCTTGCCTGTCGAATCTGACTGCATTTTAAAGAGAGAGCGGTATTTGACTAAAATACAAAAAGTACATCACAAATGAGCCGTGACGAAAGACTGTTGGCAATTAGTGCCTCAGTTAATTGATTGTACATGTACATGTTTTAGATTTCTTCCATGAAAATAAAGGAATGCTTAAAGCACTGGCAATTTGAAGCATTGTGTTTAAATTCAAAATTTAAAACATGTACATGTATTTGCTAAATTTATAGTCGAACTTTTAACAGGTAGCACCAAGGTATAATTGCCTATGGACTATTTGAAATACATTTGTAGTTTCAAATACGAAAACCGTTCGCCAAAAGGTCGAACAATTAAAGTTTGTGGCACTGAAAAGGCAGATGACAATGTTATCGTGATTTCATATCCAACGTGGCTGTCATTGAAGTTAGCTATAACGATGTCATAAGATGGGTGGATTGGCACGAAATGCTGCTGAACTACTTCGGTAGTACAGCCACTCCTCCACCATCTGTTTACGAGTCCTGTACTCAGCCGCCGGACAGAACTCCGGCGGTTCTTCTACAATGATCACCTCCGATTCCTTGGGTTCTTCCGGCTCTGGTTCCACAACTGGTTCCGGAGGGGGAGGTTCTGGAACCGGTCGTTCTAGTTCCGGAGGCGGTTCAACCGGTGGCGTCGGTTCTATCGCCTTTTTCTTGGTCCCCTTCTTCGTGCCGCGTTTGCCCTTCGAGCTTCCAGGTTTTTTCTTCCTTCCACCGGGCGTTGGTGAGGTGGAGCGGGATTCTGAGGACGAGGATCCGGGGAAGGGTCTCTTGGGAGACGCTTTCCGAGAAGCGACTGGCTTGTGCGGCCTGATAGTTCGGGTACTCACTAGCTTTTCCCGGAAGGTCACCCGCTTCCCTTGCCCGGTTTCCCCGCTACCGTCATCGCTCGGTCTCCGCTCGTCAGACTTAAGGATCGGCTGAGGAGTGTTACTCCCCGATCTATCACCTTCCGCATCCGAGGGCGATGGGGCTACTGATGATTTCTTCTTGGCGGATTTCCTGGCACTTTTCGCCTTCCTTGAGGTCTTATCTTTCTTGGAAGCTTTTCCTTTCTTCGAGGATCTCTTTTTGCTGCTCTTGGAGCTGCTTGAGACCACCGAGATGTCATCCGCGTTGATTTGATTCTCAGTGTTTTCCAACAGTGCGAGTTCCTGCTCCTTTTTCTCTTTGGCAATTCTCTCGGCCTCCAGCTGAAGTCTCTGGAGTTCCAGAGCTTCTTTCACTTTCCTCTCCTCGTAGTCCTTCTTCATGTCTTCCAGGATGATCATCATCTCGGCTTTTTCTGTTCTTTTCCTCTCCCTCGTCTCTTCTTCGATGATCTTCTCCTCCTTTTTCCTCCTCCAGTACTGCTCTCGATCGCCCTCCCTTACTTTGTCCGTGAATTCGGCCTTGAGCGAGAAATCGTTCAGGTTTTGATCCGAGGCGGTCTTGACTCGACGCAGGTAGCGGTAGATGCTGGGTTTGGGAGACTCGATGGTTCCTCGTGTCTTGGCCACGGCAAGTTGGTCGATGGAACCTTTGTTGATGTAGGAATCAAACGATCGGCTTCCTTTAACGAGAGGGGAGGTACACCGCGTCGGGCGGAGTTTGAGCGTGGTTCTGTCGTCGAGCATGGGGGAATTCGTTCCTGATGACCCGTAGCTACTTCCCGGTCGCGAGCTGCAAGGTGAAGCACTGTACGGTCTCACCGGGGAACCACGGGCGGATCCCAGCTGCCCCTCCTCGGCAATCTGCACCGCTTTGTCGAAGAGACACTTCCCCAGGACGACCTGGAACTGCGACTCGATGTCCAAGGTCTGGGGGATCACGTGCAGGGATTCAGCGGAGAAGCTGCGAGATGGTTGCCGGGGCCTGGCGGATTCTGGCCGGGTAGACGGCACCCAGGAATTCACGCTCCGTGCCGTCAACGCCGGAGTTACCGACAACGTGTTCAATCCCATTGCCGAGGACGACACAGATCGACAATGGTTCTTTCTTTGCGAAAACATAATTTCCAATCCTCCTCGTAACAATCGCAGTCAGTTTTCCATATGTGCTGACGAAGTGACTCGATTCTTTCAATCAAAACAGTAATGTCTGATGATCCAGTTAGATTTTCAGTCATAAGCAAAACGCTGATAAAGCAATCTCTGCTGATCTATCACTGTCGACGTTATCCGTTACTGATCTTGTTTGCATATCTTCAGTCACCTAGCAATGAACACGACCAGCCAACTCCTTTCATAACTTCATATTACTGATAAACTACTCAAGCTCCGCTCTTTTCACAGATTCCGATCGCATGTGTACATTTCCTCGGTGTAATGTTTATCCAAGTTAAAAGCTCCCATCGATCTTTGTATACGACGTGCTTTCAACAAAGTGCCTTTGAATAAAAAAAATGTGTGTTTTTGCAGCCGCAGCAGCACACTCTCGAGCAATTGACAGTACAGATGTGAGACAAAAGTCAAACGTCAATATACCAAGTTAATCATGTACTCGTTTACCAAACACGGAAAAACGAAAGAGGGTTGGATCGGCTGGGGTGTATAGGTAAGTGGCACTCCATACGACATCTGGCACCAAAAGTTGCATCTCGACTCTCACAAAATGAAATTAGGTTTTGGGCACGTCGAGCAGTTAAAGTTTACCCCGGAGGCTTGTCTACCCTGTGAATTGGCCATTTCAATCAGGTGTTCAGATTGCACAGGTTGGATCATGTGACAGAGTGGTTGCTGGGAGATTCATATCACCATGACATATTCCAAAATGGCGGCCACTTAGTGGGCTATCAATCACTAATCCGCGTGATGCTGTCTTATAGCCTGTATTAGTATTGCGGCACGACGATATCTCTGCTAAGTTATTTATCAATGTCAGCTACATTATACCCTTTATCTGCCTCCCAACGAATGAAGGCCGACGGGCAACAGAATCAATGGATGAGCAGAGATGTTTGCAGATGGATAATGCAGGGGTATCCATAGCAACTTTAGACTCCTGTCACTGTGGATGTTTCACTTCTCACAATCCCTTAATTCTTCAGAGGAAATTTGTCCAACTCGCTTCAAGTTACATGTACATGTACTTCATGTGCACAGCAAGATCTTCGGCATCCAGTTTTAATATTTCCAGGCGACTGCAAACTGTATAACAAGTCATCCAATCCAGATCCACGAGGCTGATGTTTAAAGAGCACAACCAATGAAGAAAGTAAGACGTCCCATCATCTTACTCCGAGACACGGTTAACTTGCAGGATGTAATGGTTGTTTCAAAGTCGACTTAGTCATTCTTCCGACTTTAATCCTTGGACACATTCTGGAAACAAGGAAAGAAAAATAGGTCTTATTGTTGTCTTCAGTCCAAATTTAGGCTAATCGTTAGAGCATTCCTATGGCATGATTAAATCATGGATTCCTTCCTCCATGATTAGATCGACTAATATACTGTTCAGTTAAAGCCCACTGCAGCGCCCCCCCCCCCCCCCATTCAAAGAAGCAAAAAATTGGTTTTAACCGTAACTTCAAGACCTAAACTTGTTCCTGCAACAAAATAATCAATATTTTGAAGATTTTGACCAACTTTAATATTCCCAGGGGTAAGGCCTTAAATGATGCAGCAGTTATATAATGTTATGCGATAAAGATTTATAGTTGCACTACAGGGTGAATAAAAAAAACGAAACCCAAATGTCGGGACCATTGTTTTAGTGAAGTTCTGCATGTAGCACTTTCAAAATCTAGGATATGAAAACCCAATTCATAAGCTTTTTTTTAGTACAAGAATCATTTCAAATCTTTCGTGTACTTTTCAAGTTACAGTTACAGAATTTTAAACACAACTACCATTTTAAGGTTCTGTCCACGGATCACAAAAAAAGTGTACGTTCTTTCAGCAAAACGAAAACAATTCACACACATCCGTATTTAATTTCTTTTCGTTTTGCTTAAAGAACACTGACCTTTTTTGTGATCCGTGGACAGAACCTTAAAACGGTGGTTGTGTTTAAAATTCCGTAGCTTCAAAAGTACATGAGTGATTTGAATGATTCTTGTACTAAAAGAAAGCTTATGAATTGGGCTTTCATATCCTAGTTCTTGAAAGTGCTACATGCAGAACTTCAATAAAACAATTAGCCCGACATTTGGGTTTCGTGTGTTTTTTTGTCTCACCCTTTATAGCGTGACATATCTCTTTAATGAGTTAGTGTGAACTCTTCAGAACCTCACAAACTCATAAATCAGATGTGCCACATGGTGCTACCGTAACTCTTTATCTAATTGCTACCCAGTCACCCATCTTTTCCTTCCTCCATGCTTCGATTCATCATGCAAACCTTTAAATCTTATCTTATAAAAAAAATGTTCTAAATGGGCAACGAGGGAAACAAACCTCCCCCCCCCCAAAAAAAGGCATTTTGTTACCACAAAAACATAACAAGTTGTTTTTCGACTAAAAGTCTCATCTGAAAATCAACAGTAGTACAACTTAATGACCTTGTTTCTTTATAACAAGCCCAAACACCTCTCAAGGACAACTTAATTAATGCTTGCCTGGAGGCAAGAAAATAAATTTCCACAGGTCCCAGTCATAAATATCCCCAAATTAAAAAGAAATCGGGCAAAATACTCATGTAAAGTGGGTCCTATTTCATCCTACATTTCTCAGAAATACAAGTTAGAACCTTTTTAGGCCCTTCGGACTTCACTTCTACCATGGAGCTATGCTCAAGTGCAGGGGCGTACAAAAGTTTTTATTTAGAGAAAATTGAAAGAATCATTAACCGTAACTTGGCCGGCTTAGTCAATTTTGAGCCTTGGTCTGCGCCCCAAAAAGTAGCCACGTGTACTACGTGTAGCCATGGAGGAAGCTTCCATGGTGTAGCCCACTCCCTCGGTAATGAAAAAAAGGCACTGCACACTCCCCTTTAACTCAACGGCCGGGTGCATGTGCGACAACACCCGACCCCAAAGCGGCCCCGTCACCCATGACTACTCCACGTAGACATGTCCACGAAAATCCAACAACCTTGCCAACTATATCAACCTGATATCTTTGCACACTCGTCATTATATCCGTACTCCACCAACAATGTGAACGTGGATTATATAGAATGAGAAACTAACGATCAGATAACATAGATCGAATCAAAGTTACATCGGGTTGAACAAACATTTGGTCATGTATACGAGAAAGCTTACCGTGATGTGCACTGTGAAGTCCCTTGTCCGAACACTATAGTCACAGTTAAATTCTGACAAGAGAAGCTTAATATCTAGTCCATTCCTCAAACTTCGCTAGTGTACATGTAGTATGAATACAACAAAGCACCACACATTTTGGATATAATTTGTGGCCAACAACTGTTCCCCTGTGATAACCTTGGCGTCTGTGTTGTTAGGGTGTTCATAGAAGCCTGGTACCTAGACTCACAACTCCATAATATATCATGTCAACACTGGGATTTCAGGGAACATGTCAGAAAACCTCGATCACACAAACTTTGGTCCTTCTTTAACTTTCTACCCAAACACTATATGGCCTATATTTTCTCCCTACATGTAAGGTAACCTAATGTAACATGCCTTCTTGTTCAACTTTTTCTTGTCGTGAAAGGATCTTTTCCACATTTATATTATTGAAATGTTGAGTTAAATTTTCAAGCTTCAGTTTTGGGATAGTTTGAGAAGTACCCTTAGTGCTGGTGGCCCAATCGGTTGACTGATTCCATACAAAAAAATACTCACATCATTTCAATTGATGGTCAGACACTATTGTGTGTAGAATAAGTGAAAGCGAGCAGTCCCAGGCAACAGCCGTTAGCAACAGGATCGATCGATAATGATCGATACATAATACACGTCCTGGGGGAAAGTGGGGATCGAGAATTACAAAACAAACAAAAACAACAGGGGACAGGAGGATCTGATAACACTGAGCCACTGCGCACGTGCGAATGGCATCTTGGGGTGCAGACCTGCAAGATCGACTCCCATAGACCTCAGTGATAATTATGCGTACTTCCAAAAATAGTTTAAAATATTCACAACTATCCAAGCTGGTTGAGACACCCTTCGGATTAAAGTTCATTTCATCATCTCTTGTTTTCTGTTCAATTTTGGGTGGTAATCCGGTGACTTTCGGGAGAAAATTCCATCCAAAGATGATCACCCCTAAAAGTAGTCCTGTGTGGCCCATCGCCATTTTGAGAAATGATGCCTGCGCTCCATTGCAAAATAAAACAATTGTAGGGCCCAATTTCATCCGAATTCCACAGAAATACGAGCTCGCACTCCTGTGCACTGCTTCCAACCATCTTCAAGTTTTTTCACAAAAGCTCATGGTCCACAAAAATGCTCTAATAGCAAAGAAATTGAGGGCATACAAATCGTGATGTGGCCCGCGTAGGCAATTCTGGGCCTATTTACAGGTCTGCACCCATAATGGCGCCATTTTCATGGAGCTGGTAACCACATAAATTTGCTAAGTACAAAAAATAATTGCTTAGCAAACAATGGTTACAAGCCAAAGTATCATGCAATGTACATGTATATTACCTGTGACTGGTTCTCTGTTGATTTTTGCTTAACACATAAACTTTCTGAGCAAATATTTTCTGTTTAACAACTACATGAAATTGGGTCCTTTAGTTTAGGGGGGAAAAATCCCCAAAATTGTATCCCTGGTTTTTAAGCAGCTTTTTTTCAAGGATTACAACAGGATTTCTAAGAAGGGTATTGCAAAGTTATTGACTTCAATATTTTGATTTTTTTTATTATATTGTATTATATAAAATTTCAGGCCACTTAAAAAAGTATTAATTTCTGGTCAATCCAGTCAGTGAGCAGTTTATACAGCAGTTTAATTCACTTTCATATTATATGGTGTCTTCTGCTGACGACACCATGACAATGTATAACGTACATGATAGGTATCTTGGCATCATGCGCAGTGTGACAGAAACAAATCCAGAGGTAATCTGGCGGGACTCGAACCAATTACCACTCAATTTCTAGTGCAGAAGGCGAACCATTTTGATGGGTAGTCCAGTAATTGTGCAAAGTTTCGCAACCATCACATGAACGATATGACACCAAATGTGTAAGAATTTTACTTTTATTGTACGTGCATTGTCTGTTACTTTTACTTACAAGATTTTTCCAAACTGTATAAAGAAAAATAATTCAAGTGTCCTGAAAAAATGACAAACTCCCAAGAGACCAAGATTGCTATCTACAAAACACATCATCACAAATTGTTGGTCCATAAAGTACAAGGCCACTAAAAACAAACCATTTGAGGCAAACAACCCGGACTAGAATTTGAACAAATCTTAAAACATAAATTCTAATGCAAAATTTACAGTCACGATTTTCTTGTAATGGGCCAATGAACCGAGATCGTCAATCCAAAAAAAATAATAAAACAACTTCCATGTAATTCTAATTGCACAAAGAGAGGATTGATTTCGTTATTTTTTGTAGAATTTTTTTCAGGCAAGGTTCCATAACGTAGTCTTAGGCTATGAAAGCAGTTGACTCCTATAAACACGTGTATTACTCTCAGCCATAGCGCATAGAGGTAAACATTTTGACCAGGGGCCTACTCTGAAGGAGACATCAAAAACTCGCGTTTAATGCGCGTGCGTAATGGGTAACCCAAAATGGCGGACGGCCGCTTCGAGGCGTGGGCATGGACAGCCATGTGTCCAGTTAGTAAAGAGATCGGTGGTGAAGACGAGCGAAAGATAGTCAAACAAGGTGCTGTGCTGTGTCTTTACTTTATATGAGTCAGTCTGCCCTTTTAAAGGCCCATAGGATCATTTGCTTTTCATGCATTTTCTTCGTTTCCAATAATAACACCACTATCCAAAGACGAATGCTCAAAATCTAACATGTTGAAGTTTCAGTTTTTCGAGAAAACGGTGAAAGACCATGCACAACCTTTTGATCACGAAACATGATTTGGTCCATGGCACTCCTCATTTCAATCGATCACTCAAAATAATGACCGGCCGTTGGAAATCACCCGTATTTCTTGATTTCTTCTTTAAATGACGGATTAATTTCACGGGGGTGTTAAGTACGAGTACCATCATTAACCCAAGTGAGCTTTTTGATAATAATTCGGTAGGTTACTTTTCGGATAAATGCATCTGATCCTATCTGCCTTCAAACTATTTATTTGACCATGGAGCTATAACTCCATGATTTGACTAAACACTTTCAGTTATTAGGTAACTGGCTGAGTTACTTGGTTACGGCCGGCGGTAATACACGTGTCCATTATGGGAAGTGGCTGCAACCGTTTCCATAGGCGCGTGTGTAATTATAAGCCCAAGCCAAGTAATTATTCGGACTCGACCATACACTCTAAAAAGTCCCGGGTCAGAATTGACCCGGAAAAAGGGTCATGTGGGGCCTGACCCTTTTTCCGGGTCAAAAATAACACTTTTCTGGGTCAAAATTACGCTGCGTGACTCATCTTACGGGTCATTTTGACCCGGAAAAGTGTCATTTTTGACTCGGGATAGGGTCATTTTTGACCCGAAAAAGGGTCAGGCCCCACATGACCCTTTTCCGGGTCAATTCTGACCCGGGACTTTTTAGAGTGTAATAATACAATATTCGATGTTAAAGGTCAATCAACGGTAAAAACAGCTCCCAGAAAACGGGTCACAAAAGTAGCTTACGCTCCAGCTGCACACAGATTACATTATTTCAAATCTACAAGTACATTGTACTGTACATGCAATTCAACTGATGTAACAAGAAGGCCCAAATTCCTTCACTAACTTTAATAACAAAACTTCACAGTTTAAGAATATCGCTGCCAGAAAACTGAAAGACGAATCTTGCCTTCTCTGAATCTTGTCAAATTCGAATGCCTTTCGGTAAAAAAAAACGGCCACTTAAACAGACATGCTTGGCTGTACCATATGGTTTTTGCAGACCTCTAAATAATAATGAGCAATGTGCTAAATTATAAATATAAAAGAAAAGTAAAAAAAAAAACATTTTTGTTTTATCCTCTCTTTTCTCTACGAAATTTCCTTTTCAGCAGAGACGAGAACCCACAAACCAACAAAATACATAAAAGTAGAACCCGAAAGAAGAGAGAAATGAAAAAAAAACCACCATGCGAGGAATGAAATATTTCAGAGAAGGAATTTTAAAATGTTATCAGAAAATGTTTTAATTAGAAAACTGTTACACTGAACAAGATTTTTTTATCTAAAGGTAGTATAATTATATTGACTATGGTACAGCAGCCAAAAAAAATTACGTATGTAACGTTTTTGCATTGTTTACTTTAAAGTTGCGTCTCATCAAATTCGATTTTTGTTTTCCTTAATAGAGATAAAAACTTGTGTGTTTTATTTGAACAACAAAAAAGTCCTTGTTTGTTAATTTTTTGACGTCTGCAAGGGTTTTTTTTGGGGGGGGGGGGGGGCACAAACAGATTCTCTTTTAGAGCAGCTAGACTGGCTCTCGGTCCGTACATTATCCATACAGATTGTGGGGCGGGAACAAGCCCGTCCCGTGAGATTGGAATTATTGTATGGCAGCAAATAATTAGAAATTTGTAAAGTAATAATTCAATAACTAAACATGTTTCCCTTTTTTCGGTTGATGTTGCATGCATTCAAAAGTTACTAACTTTTATAGTGCTTGAAAAATAGCAATTTATGTTAGGAATCTATTTTCGGGATGAAAAATATCACGAAGAATGTACGTTTAATTAACGCATAAAGTCTATGAATTTTTTATTTCCACCTAGTTTAGTTCAATTAAGTTTTTTTTAACCAAATGAACATTATACTACAAAATTATGAACTTCTTTCCAACATGCAGTATACTATGTCGAAGTTACTTCTTAAAAAGACTATCATTGTTTATCTCTTTTGGTTTCTATTATAAAATAGAAAACTTCTACTTTGTTATGAAAGTTTTAGTTCGGTCAGGTATGTCTTCAGTGCTACTTTTAGTTAATAACGGAACTTTAAGCCTGAAAAATCATCACCTCTATTCACCACAAGAGGGCAGCATATCACCATACTTTCTCAGGTCTCAATGGCTATGTTGGCTTAACGCTTACACATTCTCAGCCTGTTATACAAAACATCAGTTCTGGCCATTTTTCTCTCAACAGAATTGAACCAGCTGAAAGATGTGGAAGAATCAAAGATGTAACAGTCCATGTTGACCGATAGAGGGCGCCATTCTAACACGGCCATCCAGGACAAAACGCACAGTACAGTTGACACAGTAATGAAGATTTGGTAAGTAGATTTGAGAAAAGTACATTCACCACTATTTGTGATTTTCCAAGCACCCTCAATTGACAAATAAAAAATATGGCCTATTAAAATGCAACGGCCAGAAGTCTGCCACTTAAAACACAATATGCTAGCCATGAACTTTTAATACCAGTTGGTCTAAAGTACTGGAATGCACTTCTGTTGAAAACACTGTATTCTAATAAAACACAAGCCATATCATGTGGGTTTTAAAAAGGTGGGCCGAGGTCATTTTCTAGGAACTACAAAAATATAATTTTTCTGTATGCACCCACAATTAATTGCATTATTTTCACTAAAACACTTGTGAACAGTACAAAATGTCTGACACTGTTTGGTGCGCATGGCCTGCAGGGTCAGTCAGTCCAGAAATTTTGGGTCCGAGTTGTTGTTTTTTCAAGTCCCTGTTACATCTGAAAATAATATTTTGTAAATTAAGGGTACATGTACATACTTTTATACCTTCCATCTCCAAGACGTGATTGTGTTAAGCAAAGTACCTGCCAAATAAATCAAACAAGCTCAATCAGATCTCGGAAGCTGCGGGCCAATGAATGTGTGTTTATGCATTAGTCACGTGATTGTGCCAAGGAATTTCTGGAAGGAGTAGTGTTTCGAGTTAAAAAAATCAGATTTTTGATTCCAGTGACCCCATGATGACCTTTGATCTCAATTTGGTCATGTGACATGTTGGGTTGGGCTATTGATAGTTTTGACAAAGTTTGGTTCATATCGGTCAAAATATGTAGGAGCAATAGACAATGTCAACTACCTAACTAATGGAGAGACACAATGTGTTTGTTGAGCTGCTATCCCGCAGCTAAAAATAATTGAAGGCAATTTCAATGATACATGTACTTGTATGGCAAATTACACAGGTCAGGTGTAACAAACATGGACACAAATAATATAACACTTTTGGACCCCACATTTATGAAGTGACACATATTCATGTACGTGTACATCATGCCCTTTAATTTTTACCATGCCCATTACAAATAGCGCCCTCTATAAACAATGCACAATGGAGATGCCAGGCTTGCATACTGTGTTAAAAGTACAGACTTCTGGAATAACTAATAACCAAAAAAAAATTCATCTGCTCTATACTTCTAGCTATCGTTGTTTGGCATCCACCACTGCCTCCAGCTTCTTTAAAAACATCTCGTGCTCCCAGAGCGTTGCTAAAAGTCCGCCCTCGTTTTTGGGGTCCGGTGACTCGGGACTCCAGTTGTAGTCAATCTTGTCCCCTTTCAGGGTGGTCATGCGACCCTTGGCTGTGTTCAAGAGCGCGTTGCCTGCGCAAATGTCCCATTTCTTTATCAGCGTCGTGTGGATGTAGGCGTCGGCCGTTCCTTCAAAGAGTGCCCACACTTTGTAACCTAGATAAAAAAAAAAAAATTGACGTAAACTTGAAAGTATAATACAGAAGTCTTTTAAAGCGCACGTATCTACCAACAATTAGGTTCTCAAGTATATATGATTCAAATGGTCTTAGCGACAAGTGTTACTGGGTTAAACGTGCATTACACAACACATGGGACCTATGGCTTTACGTCCCATCCGAAGGACAAAGCAATAATGGTAAAGTGCCTTGCTCAAGAGCACAAGCACCATGTTCCCCGTCAGGATTCGAACCCGTGTACCACAGCACACGAGTCGAACACCGTAACCATTGGACCACAGCACCCATATAAGTAAAGACCGAAATGTCCAAATCTGGGAAATGATGATTCTTAAAACATCATGACAGAGGTTTATATGATTCAAATGGTCTAGAAAACAGGGGTAATGACATAAATCTGTCACTGGGGATGCAATGTGGTAGGTACTTTTTCCTTATTAAAATCAATAGCAAACAGTATATTGAGGAAAAAAAATCCATATTCTCCAAAGAGAAATTTTATTTATTCAAAAATATAAAGAAAATGTACATGTAGATCATTTTCACTGCAGCCATCTTGAGGTGTGTGCTTTTATCATGGGTTCTGGGTTCTGGACTCTAGGTTCTGGGCTCTAGCTTTAGGCTCAGGATCTGGATTTGATGCCCTGGGTTCTGGGATCAGGGTTCTATTTTGGTTCTAGGTTCCGGTTTCTGACTTCTTGGTTATGAGCTCTGGGTTCCTGGGCTTTGGGTTCTGGTTTAAGGGCTCTGGGTTCCTGGGATCTGATATGGGCTCTGGGTTCCTGGGTTCTTGGCTCTTGGTTCCTGAATTTTGGGCTCTAGGTTCCTGGGTTCTGGGTTATAGGTTCTGGGTTCCTGGCTCCAAGTTCTTGGTTCTCAGCCTTGAGTCCTGGGTCCTTGTTTCTGGCTTTGTTTAATTTGTGTTCGGTTTTGTATTTGTTTGTTTGTTAGTGTTTATTACTATTTTCTTGGAGGATCAATGGACTTACCTGCACCACCAGCTGGGATAACTGTAGTTTTCTCCCCAAATGATTTCTTGGCAACAGATTCTACTTCTCCCTTGTGCGAGCGTGATACGATGATCTTGGGACTTGTCCCAAGTTCTTCTAAAGTTTTCTTGACTGGCAGCTTTAGGTTTGGGGATAGGGTCTTTCCAACGTAGGCCCAAACTGTCAAAGAATTTGGAGATTAATCAACACATGTTTGGTTAGAAAACCAGAATCAATACGTTTTTTTAATCAGTGATTTCTTTAATTAAACAAAAAAGTTGAGAGTCGAAGCTGATATTGAGGTACTCATTCATACAATAATGGCAGTCTTCTATATCAGGATTTAACCATTTGAAGAATTCTGGGTGTTAAAGCCCTAATTCCCTAGGCCCTTTTTGCTAGGAACCATCCTCAATCCTCCAACGTCCTCCAAAATTTTGCACTTCTGTTCCAAATGAAGGATACGCACTGCCTCAATCCTTCAAAATCCTCAAACAGCCCTGCCTCTCAAAATGCATTCAGCCTCAACCCTATTCTTTAAACACCATTCTGCCTCAACCCTCCAAATTCAACTGATACTGAATGTCTATGTGCCCTCAATACTCCACATTCCTCAAAAATTGTAGGTTGCATTCAGCCTCAATCCTCCCAAATCCTCCAAAACGGCCCGGAGGACTTTGGAGGATTGAGGAAGGTTAGGGTTATGGACTCGATCTTTTTGTTTGTTTTGTGTAGGGTTTTTTTGGGGGGGGGGGGGGACGGGGCAGTTTAATTGGTTTTGTTTGGCTTCAATGAACCAGACATTCTGCCAACCGGCTGTCTCAATTTCTGGTGTTGAGAAGCAATTGCAGTAAACTGTCCAGCTCAGGGACAATAATGAAATGATACTTGATGAGTGATTCTCATTCTATCTTCTGCAGTGTTCATGGCTTGCTTACCTGTTTTCTCATCCTTCTTGAATGGTTTATGAATGATGCCGATCGTGGGCACTCCACGCACCGCCACACACACCATTGTGGTCACATATTCCAGAAGGTTTTCTAAATGATTCATATGTCAAAACATAAATTATAATTTAATAATGGGCTGATTTCCAGCTTAATCCAGGCACACAAGACATTCAAAATACACTTACCTGTGGTAGTAATAAACAATGAGTTTACAATAATAAATTCTGAGGATCTTTTTAAATTCAAATTCAAAAACTCGCAAGGTTACACTGAGTTTATTAACCCTAACTCCCTAGCATGATTTACTAGGAACCATACCCATCCTGGCAAATTCCAATGTAAGGGAAACTGCACACACATATTTCTGACTTTGATTCTGGAAGTGTGCCAACCCAATGTAAAAGACTGTCAGTTTAAGGGTGCTGTACCCACTCTGACAAATTCCAACAGAACATGCCGTTGGGGTTTGATGGGTTGAGTTCTGTTAGGGTTAAGCCTTTTTTTTACTGTACAGCCTGTCTCAAAAAAATGGTACAATCAGAAAAAAAATTGGTTCAATATGAAATTTCAAAATAAGTCATTCTTACTTGGCATAATATTAAAGAAAAAAGACTGGGCTTTCCAATAGTGTTGGTTTGATCTTATTTGCTTTTGTCAATTCAGAGATATAATCAATTTAGTGCGATACACCAAAATCGATTTTGTGCCACTTTTATGCATGGGCAGAGTTGTTTCGAGTACTGTGCCATGCTGTCTTGAAGCTCACAAAAGATTGCAACTTGGCAAAAGAAACAAACTTGATTTTTGTGTTCCGCAGTAAACTGAATCTCTGGATTGACAAAAGCAAATGAGATAAATAAAAAGTATTGGAAAGCCTGGTCTTTTTTCTTTAAATGTGATGCTCAAAACGACTTACTAATGTTGAGATTTAATATTGAAAAAAAATCGTTTTCGATTGTACCATTTTTTTGAGACGGGCTGTAGTGCCCAACACCGCCCTGCCTATTACTGTAGCGCCCAAAACTGCCCCAGCACTGTATGATGGTTTTATTGATTCTTCAGAGAATAAACACATTGTAATACAATGTAGTACAGGTGCCAATGGCTTAATAGAGTTGAATAGCTCAATACAGTCTATGCTGTCCACACCAGATGTTGTAAGTTTTTGTATAGCATGTATTTTGACATTAGCTTTAGCAACAGCTGTTTCATTAGCTGTGTCAATAATCGTAATTCCTGACTTTTTCAATCGCACAAATAGTTTTCATCATTATACATGACTTATTACGTGTACAGCGCAGTTGTTTGTGAGAGTAGGGTGCTATTAGTATTAGTATACAGAACATATCTGTGGTGTGTCAGGTACTAGGTGTGAGCTTTGAAAGTTCTTTTAGTGACAATTTCAAAATTTGTTAACATACGTGTATACCTTTCCAGAACTGGTTTTATGTTTTTCGAAGACTTCACATTAAAAAGTTAAGACTCTCGGGGAACAGCAACTTCACTCTTAGATATTTCTTTTGACATACATGTACATGTACATAGCTTATGCGATGTAGTGTTGGAACATTTTCCCATTTCTAATACAGATGTATCGGTAGAAATAGAAAAACATTTTCAAATAGCAATAATGAATACATGAGAAACACAGATTTTTGGGTATTTTTATGATTCAGTAATTCATCCACACTTGAACGAAAAAACATTCCTTCTGTTCCAAACTTCCAACCCACAAAAATACGCCCCTTTCTGGCCGTCACCGGCAATATACACGAAAATGTAGTTGGTCGACAGAAATCTTTGTATCTTACATCCATCTATCATTGGTTCGGAACCTACTGGAATGTTATTCCTGTTTCGACTTCTGTGGACTCTTTTAAGTTTGAGGACTCACAAAACGTCCTCTTTTGACGCTTGGGGGCGCTGTTCAGAATCTGTAAACAAGTACAGATCAGCGTTTATGGCCAATTTAAGGCAGATTCTGTAGATACTTGTACAAATAACTAACTTAACAGTACATTATGCCATAATCAATATTCTTTTCTCCATCCCTTTTTTCCGTAGGATGGGGGAAGGGAGTGCCCCCTTCTGGCCCCCTCCCCTTCACCCACCTCACCCACCTCCCTTCACCACCACCCCCTCCCTTCACACCCCCCCCCCCCCCTTGACTGATACTTGTACCTGTGTATTCTTGCGTGGCATCTAATGGATCAATCCAAACTGTGATGTCATCATATGGCAGCATCTCATCTTCTGGTATCACGGATACCACGTCAGAGCGTTTGGTGTCGAGGGGCGTTATTTTGCTGTCGTCCCAGCCTCCCACTTCTTTTTCCTCAGAAACAACCTGTCACAAAGACGTTTGAGCATTCAAAAGTAGAAATCAAACACTGGGTAATCCTTACCTTTAGGACCCTGTTCCTATGTAAGGTTAAAAGACTCACCAAAACAGCTGACTAAATGACACTCAAAAGTGACATTCTGATGTTTCTTGACACATTTGAACAATTGGCAATGACACCTTCTTGTATATCAGCTGGTTAGCCTACTTTAATTTTGTGGAAAGAGGGCAGGGTTTTGATTTATGAGGGGTTAAAGACGACGATGACAAATAGAAATAATATTTAAAAAGCAAGATGGCAAACTGCAAAAAAAGGTAGGAAAGTCACATTTTCTTTGAAATTGCTTTCAAAATTACAACTAACATGAGTTTATCTGAGGTAAAAAGACTGCTTTAGCCTGCAAAAGTCACTTTGGTACTGGACAGTCATCTGCAAAAGTCAGTTTTGAACAGAACTCATAAAAATAGCTCTAGGTGTCCTAAAGATAAGGATTACCAAACATTGCAATATGAAGCCGTGGCTGAATACATTATATTTTTCAAGAAAATCAGATAATAATTAAGTTGGGTTTACTTTTACTGCCTTTAAGCAAAAAGTAGGCTTTGTTATAATGGTATGAATGTGGGCACAATCATGTGGTCCAAGAAAGTTGTTAAATTGTTAGGAATAAAGATCTTGACGATTGTGTAGTTACGAGCCCCTCTCTCATTTTACTAGTCAGTGTGTTTTTATCATTCCAAAATAACTTCTGCAACCTTACAGTCTGGTTTTAATACTTATGACCCTTTTTCAGTTGATCTCATGTGGATCTCATGTGAAGCACATGGTTCTACGCATTAGTGCACTGCAGTGAACGCCATCTATATTTTCCGGCAGTGGATATTTAGCCGGATCCGGCTTTCTTTTAGTGAACCATATTTTGTCGGAAAGGCACTGAACGGAAATGCGCAGCGACTGTTTTTTTGTGACTTATTTTTAAATTCACCGCGTTCACAAGCTGGGAATCAGAACATTTTACAATTTCGGACTTTATATCCCTTTTAAAAAAAATCCTCCTGAGTCACGAATCAGAAAAAGAAAACAAATCCAACAAATAAAAGCAAAAGTGAAAAGTGGATTTTAACAGTAACAATTTTTAACTTCAAATCACAATCTGACAATCGCTGCACAAGAAAAAGGCGACAAGACTAGATTCTGTTTGAAACCCAGGCCTACGTGTTTACCTTTAGGAGTGGGAATGTCTTCTTGAGGCTGTGTACGATGGCTTTATGTGACCTCATATCCCCATCAGTCACCGGGTTGTTTGCCCCCTCACGAGTCTCCCCTTTACTTTTCTCATTCAAGTTGTGTTCCTCTCGCACTTTCTTGACTTCCAACCCGCCCCGCTCCGCCGCCTCGATGCCCGCCGACAGCAGCTGCCGGAGGCTGACCCTCTCCCCCGGCCCGTTGATCTTGAGGTTCTGGTCTTCTTTGCTGTGAGCGTGCCATGATCGCTGGACGTAGAGGATCACAGCCCCGGCAAGGAGAATGATGACGACGAACCCGATGGGAGAAATACGCACACTCGCCATGTTGGCACTCGCCATTCTGTGACCTCTGACCCCGAAGGAAGTGTTTACTTACGGCAACTGACGGAAGAGGGCGCGTGTAAAAAAGCGGAAGAGTTTCGCTGCGTGCGCATCCCGCCCGTACGCGTATTGTTTTCCCAGGAGGGTTGGGACCAATTCATGAATAATTCAGGATAGAACTTTGGGGGGGGGGGGGGGCAGGGAGGGGTTGAAAGCACCCTCAGCCAAGCCCCCCCCCCTCCCCCCCCCCCCCACCCCACGTAGAACCGCGCCTGCTATAATGGTACTAAACATATCCCATGAGGGAAGACATTGTTCCATCTGGCTTGCTGTCATAATTATTTCGGTAGATGTCCATCGACTGATTTTGACGAAATGGTTTCGTGATCAAACGGTTGTTCATAGTTTTCATTGTTTTCTCGAAAACTGCAAGCCCTAATATCCACTGCCAAACTTCACTGAACAGGTTAGGTTTTGAACTTTCTTCTTCTGATTTTAAGTTAGTTACTATTTGGAAACGAACAACATGTTTGAAAAGCAAAATGATCCTATTGTGCCTTTAATTACAAGGGGTGTACGGTGGGGATATCGTGCACTAGTGGTCTAAACTCTCTCCAAAGCACTGAGCACAAGTTTTAAATACGGTTGTATTCATTCTTTGTGTTTTAATTTACTACATCCAAAGTAGTCAATTAATTGTGTTTTAATCTAGTACATCCAAAGTAGTCTATAAGAACATTGTCCGGCCGGTATTTTACCAGTTTATCAAAAGCTATTAAATGTATATAGACACCCCCGGTCCTATGGACAAACCCTAGCGCATGTTGCTGGCAATGACGTGGGGTTTTTTTTTGGGGGGGGGGGGTCAACGTTGAAGGGCTCCGCGTATCTAGACAGATTATATACAGATTGGACTATGGACTTTAGTATATGTACAAGCTAGCTTCTCCAGGCGTTTGCATGCAGTTTAAAGTTCTAAAGGTTTTATAGTCTAGACAGCCTGATTCGAAATTCATCATAACGAAAACAATAACAATTTCAAACAAACCTCAAAGGGAAACTGACAAGGTGCATTGTGATAATTTTGAAAAGTGAACAAAGAAATTGACTGGAGCGGGATGGATTTGAACCTCCGACCGCCGGATTGCCGTTCCGGTGCTCTACCGAATGAGCTATCCAGCACCATTATGTGTTAATTGGGAACTCCCCAGTTTGTCAAATGTCTTTGTTCAGTTTGTATATGCACGGGAACGGCGATCTGGAAGGGGCAGGCTCAAACCCCGCTTCACAATTTCTTTTGTTCATCTTTAACAATTTCATACAAAACAGCCGTTTGACACAGATCGTTCATATGCATGCATTAATCAAGTTCAACATCTTTAATATATCCTAAACTTTCAAAGAGGTGTATGGGGAGCTATATAGCTCAGATCGGTAACACTGACTAGGTTATACATTGTATAAACTTTCCACTCATCAGATATTGTATACGGCGAATTAGCTATCTATGTATTTTTTCCAAATCAAATTTTATCTAAAAGATGAATCCGCTGGGGCGTTATAACGGCTAGTCTTCACACTATTATATGCAAATACTTAAATGTTGAAACTTGTTCATCACAATTTTTCTTTCAAGACTTACTTTTCCTCCTACGTCCTAGTTTTGCCCTCCTACTGCCCATTACAGCACAGTATCACTGCAGCCACATGAATAATAGACAAGTATGAAAGAGATTTCAGTTATCATGTCAAACAAACTAGTGTTTACCTTTCCTATATAAAACACATTTCAGAATTCACAAAACCTTAACACTTGATGACGGTTATATTTTACTCCATTAAAGGGCCCAAGTAATGGCATTTTTGTTTAATGTAATCCTTGAAATGTACCTTTGAGTTCCATTTAAGTTATTTCATTTTTTAATCTTCATATTGCCATTTTCAAGCAAAGTTTGGTGCCTTTTTGATGTTTATGCTTATGCAAATTTCCATATTCTTTTGCAAAACTGTGACGTCATTCAAGGCAGAAACTCCACTTTCGCATCTGCTTCAGCATAGAAAAATCACCAGATTTTTAGGGGTCTGCTGTGGTCATTTTTCTACTTCCAGCAGTTCATTGTTGATTCAGTGTATGACAGCAACACAATAATTATGCACTAAATGCACTAAAAAACTTGAAGAGAAGAACCCCAATTTGAAGGGGGTGTTCCTATAGTGACATCACAGCAACAGCGCCCCCAGTTGTCAGGAAATGCATGAAACATTTTAAAATCTTTAAAAATAAAAGTGCACTTTGCAAAACATTTTACCAAAAAGGGATGTCTCATATAGTTTTCATACATTTCAGAGGAATGGATGTTAACTACAAAATAATATGCTCCAGTGTAAAATGTATTTTCATTGACTTTTTTGAATAACAGTATAACAGTGGGCTGTGGTCTCAATGTGAACAAAAATATCGTTTCATTTCAGCTTTACTTGTAATATAATTTGGAATTTTAATCCAATCTTATAAAATGAAAACAAAAACATTAAACTCTGGAGTAAATTCCTATTTTATAATATTGTTTTGTTGTACAACTAGTCCGTAAATATTATTGTCATGATTTTTACTATAGCAGGGATTGCCCGAAGACGTTACAGCGAATCATTTCAGACGCGTGGTGGCACTATTGTCGACATGATGACGTCACTAGTCTGGTTCCATCTCATTCGTTCTTGTTGCGCCCGGTGAAGGTATCCATGCTTGCACCCAGACCGCTGGTACGCGTGTTCAACAGAGCAAGCTTCTCTGGTATAACACTGAATGGGGAAATAAAACGCATGATTGAAACTACAAAAGGCAAAAGTAAGAAATCTGTATAGGCCACTTTGCACGAAATCGGACTTGGATTATGTTGACCGAGTTCACGTTCTTGTTCAGTCCCAATGAAAGGGTGTAGCTGAAAATTCAAGATGGCAGCCGCCGTATCAAAACGCCCCATGAAAAGAAAGGACAATTCTTAATTGACTTAATACGAAAAATAACTGAAATCCCGAAACAGCTATACAAATTTGCAAAGACAAGGTTGAAGAGCTTAGCCCGCATGCAGCAATATGCGCCGCAGCACCTAGCAAATAAAGGTGCTACATAATGGGTCTCATATGTTCCTATTTCATTTACCGGTCTTTGGTTGCATTCTCCCACAGCGCTTTGTATCCTTTGGCAAAAGGCGCTATATAAATACGGTTATACGTGTAATGGAACCATTAAAGATACACAGTATCGTAATTTCTTCGAACGGTGGGAGACATCGGTCATTAGGATGTCTCCCTAATGTCACAGCCCCCCTCCTCCTTTAGAGGCAAAATTTCATTGTCGCAATTAGATAATATTTGTTGCTCGTGGTCTAGTTAGTAAAGAAAAAAGACAAGGGAATATTGGGTTAGGGCACATTTAGGTTTGAAAAATTTTGTGCACAAGTCTATGGGGATGTCTCCCAAATGTCCAATCCAGGGTAATTATTGTTATTATTATTAAAACCACGTGCAATTCTATGGGGTTTTTTTTTCGTCTCTTTACTGCTTTTCCACTGAATGATTGCTTTCAGTTTTTTATTAACCAAGTTCCGGTAGGGTCGTACCTAAGTCCGCCATCTTTGTTCTTCACCTACTCCCAAAAAATTAGAGTGGGGAGTGAGAAACTTGTTCGCGAACACCGTTCGCGTGTTGGTTCCCGTCATTCGGAACCCTGTTTTAGTCTTTCAACACGAGAACGGGGTTTCGAATACACCCCAAAGATTCTGCCCATTCTGACGAATCTTAGGTCGAATCTAAATATAAACAAATTAAGGCGCGGCCTGACGTTGCGATCTTATTAACAAGATCGTCTTCAAAGGCAAAATGACAGAGGTACGAGAAACAAATATAGAGTTGGGAGGAGAAACTCAAAGGAGGCATTACATTTGGGGACAGACCAATGTGGGTGAGTATCATAAGGGAACTTCAGGAGTAGAAGAACGAACTAAGGATGGATTAAATAGGGGACCAAGGGGGATTAATTGGGGAAGGGGGCACACCGGTGTACATTTGTAGCACGATATGGGACAGAGGGAACCCCCCCCCCCCCTTTTTGTGTTGGTCATTGTGTTACCAGAATCTCGGGAATTCTTTTGAAATATCTAGGGGGATGTGTTAGGTAACAAGTAGTTTAGGGTGTGCATAGGGTATAGGGCGAATTCTTTTTTTGGGGGGGATGCATTGCAAGAACAAACAAAGGACGGAATCTTAGGTCAGATAGACACCACACAGCCACACTGTCACGTGACCTTAAGGGCAGGATCCGATCTGTCCGTTTCCGAAAAGCTCCGAAGTTTTGGCTTTGACCCTCTCGGCTCCCGCACTTGACCTTTGACCTTCAATCTATATACTTACAACGAAAGCAGTATCAGGAGGTACGCATAACCAGGTACGCACAGGAGCCCCTCATTGAGAAGAACGGAGTCCATGATCTTCGCGACCACGTACTCGGGAGACGCAAGACTGCCGAGGAAAGTAACAAACTTCAAATAGTAAATTGAGATCAGGTTTGGTGGTGAGCCACACCCCACCCCACCCCAACCCACCCCACCCCACCATCATCCTTCTGTTTCAAACACGGTGTCGGAAAAGTCTTATTTAACTCTTTCATTTCGTATTCATCTTTATCTTTTTGCTTTTACAGACAGATTGAGAACCCCTCCTGTTAAAACTTCCCTGCTGAGTCACATGGAGGAAAACAATATATACCATGTACATTGCACCAAGTAACGCGATCTTACAAGTTACTACTCAAAAGCCACCGCAATATTTTGGGCGGGATTCAAACCTGGGTTTCCGAAGTAGGAGGCGTATTGGGCCCGACCTGACTACCCCCGTTCCACTGTGATATGCATGAGTTGAACACTTTGTATTTACCAGGGTTCGACCTTGACTTTTTTGTTCACTATAGACAGCCGGACTACTGACACGGATTCTTAACTAGCCCGCGGGCTTTTTCACTAGCCCGCCGCCGGCATTTTTTTGTCTCAACTCAAATACAAAATGGCGTATTTTCAGGCACAATTCTGAGGCAATTTTGTCGGTGTTTTTGATGAACGGATCTACTAATTTAACCCTTTAAGACAGTTGATAAAATTAGACACAAATTGATGGGGTTTTCTTTCTGAATATAATGATTTATTTCTTCCTGTACGTTCATCTTTGCCGCATCCCAACAATTGTTCACTCGCCAGCCAGCCGGGCTAGTTAAGGAATAGTTGGACTAGCCTGCCGCTGTTTTGACTAGCATTTGGCTAGCGGGCTACCGCTAATTTGGAAACCTGTAATCGTCACTGAATTTACTAAAAGTTAACCCGTGTGGGGCGCCCTGTGCACGCGCGATGCGCGAACATCGCCCAAGCTTTTAAACATAACGGAGCACGCACAGCGTTTTGCTCAGATAACTGATGCGTAACAAACATAATTTAGACCTATATCGGGTGGAGTCGCTATTAGCTACCCTCAGTATGGGAATTTGAGAAAATAGCCCCCTCTGCTTTGCTTCAGGAACTAGTTTGTCAACTTCCAATCCATTTAGGAGCTATTATCCACTATTCCCCGCTAGCCATGTTATATACAGTGTAATAGTAAATGAACGAAAGCTAACTTTGCTTTGACTCCCTGAAACATCCCCGTGCTGACGAAAGTCGGGCAGACCAGCGTCATGTTTATACCATCGTAGCCCTGCAGAAGTAGTTCCAGGCGGAGGGTTTTGTGCAGTCCCACGGCGGCGAACTTACTGGCGCAGTAATCCACCAGTTTGTTGACCGGGAAGAAACCGGCCAGGCTGGCGATGGTGACGATGTGGCCTCGGTTGCTGGCCATCATGGCCGGCAGAAAGGCCTTCAAAATCTGGACACAATAATATGGAACAGAATTGGTACGGTTCTTTGCGGGAAAACAAAGGTCATTGTGTGCACTGAGGCTCAGTTTTGAATGGAATGACAGGTATATACACTGAGCTTAGACGTTTCAAAACTGAACTGAAAGGGCGCGTTGGTACAAAACTTCGGGGCAGGATTCAAGGATCGAGGGCCAATTTAACAAAAGATCCTTGGTCAGAATTTAATATAGATAATTTCGAACTGATGACGTTTTAATTTTGAAACTTCTACTTCGGCGTTCAACTGCACGATATTCATTCATATATACATCAATGGGGAAAAACTAACAACAAACACGGTTAGGAACACCTGTAAACAAAACAACAGTAAACAAAAGAAGGCATATACAGTTTTAACGGTTAATGTCAACTGTATTCGCTTACCCAGAAGTGTGACGTAGCATTGACGTCCATGGTCCTTTTGATCATGTGATCGGGACAGTCCAGTAGTGGCTTGCCAGTCACCACGCCCGCGTTGTTAACCAGAATGGTGACGTCACCAATGTCACCTTTGACCTTGGCCGCAACCTTGTACACGTCGTCAGCGTTCGTCACGTCCACCGTGTACGCAGATACGTTCCCGTCAAAGGCCTGGATCATACGCATCGTTTCCTCGTTCCCTGAAAATGAGGGGGGGGGGGGGTAAAACAAAATTACATTGCCATTATCTCAACAAATCAGATTCACTTTAAATTATCAACTAAAATAGTTTATTTCTCAGAGAACTTTTGTGTGCTGTTTTTTATCAATTTTTTTTTCAGTGTAATGGGGGGATAATAATGAAAGGGATAAAGGGGGCAGATATTTCATGTTTATAAAAGATCATAAAAGAAACAAAATTGTAGGCATGTCAAAATTCAATTCACTGCACCACTGCTCTTTTTTCACCATTTTGTTCGAACTAGTACAAAGATCAAGGTTTATACAACTTTACAAGACAAAGAGTGTGTCTAGACTTTGTGTTAAAGTTCAAGACCGCACGACCTCCGGTAGATCAACATTGAATGAAACCAAACAATTTCAGATAATATAGATAAGATATATTTGTCTTTCCTTGATAAGTCAATGCAAACCTGACTTGTTGACGTCCCACAGGACGACGCAAGCGTTCCGTTTGGCGAAGTCGATCGCCATCAGGCGGCCCATGCCGCTGCCCGCGCCGGTGACGAGCACGATTTCCCCCAGCACGTCCTTGCGTTTGCGCCAGCTCCGCGGAATGCAGAACATGGCCATGGCCCTCAGGACGTACCAGAGGGCGAGGAGGAGATTCCAGACGGCTCGGAAGAAAGCCATGGCGCGGTCGTTTTTTACGGGTAATGGTCGGAGATTGAGTTCTGATGAAAGAAACACAATCTCAAAAATGACGAGTCTGATTGGGTCCTGTTATACACTTTAAAACGGAATCCGGATCAAATTGAACACAGATCAATTTGACTCGGATTCCGTGTTCTATTGGCCTTATATTTTTAGAGTCAAAATTGACACTTTTCTGGGTCGAAATGCCACTTCTCGTGATCATTTCCGGGTCATTTTGAACTGGAAACCTGGCAAAAGTGTCATATTGACCCAGACAGTGTCATATTGACCCAGAATGTCAAATTGACCCAGACAAGTGTCTTATTGGCCAAGACAAGTGTCATATTGACAAATACAAGTGTCATATTGACCCAGACAAGTGTCTTATTGGCCCAGACAAGTGTCATAAATTGGCCCAGACAAAAAGTGTCTTATTGGCCCCGACAAGTGCCATATTGACCCGGACAAGTGCCATATTGACCCGGACAAGTGTCATGTTGACCTAGAAAAGTGTCACTTTGACCCAGATAAATGTCACTTTTGATCCTGATAAGTCTTAGGCTAACTTAAGAACCCGCATTCTGGGTCCATCAAATCTTGTAAGCCACTCTGAATTTTGAGTGTAGGGTTCATGTAAAACAATGTCCAAAAAATGGATGGCGTGTTTCTCTCAAATTAAAACTTTGGGAGATTTTAATAGAACCAATTATGACAATTGCACAGTGCCTTCTGCCACGGAATATCGTGTGGCTACGAAAATATTAAGTTCGAGGGGAGTATGGAAAAATATTACACATTTGTGTTCCTCCAATAAAATATTTACAGTTTTCTCAAAGGTGACTGGTACCCGCCGTTCATTATGCACAGTATTAGACCACGCTTACTATAGCCACATGCAAAAAATAAATGACTATACGTGTGAACCATTTCCGATACATTTAATAATGTTCAGAAGGTAAAATGATTATCAGGTGAGCAGGTAGATCCCCCTACGATCAAAATATTTGACATTTGCTGATCTTGCTAGGTCACGAACAACTCGTGTCCACCTATAATGTCCTGGCCCGGCGCATTATGCACATAATCATAAATCATGTGAGCCATTTTTGAAAATAGTGCAGCATGCTTCGATTTTTGCTCTTCAGAAGTTTATAAGATCTTTAGTGTTTGCATTTATAAGATCTAAACAAAATTGGTTCCTAATAATTATGTTTATGAGACGTCGGCAGTCGACGGAATATTAATTTTATGAGACACGTTGGCACTGAATTCAAATGAGCACACAGAACTGCACTAGAGTGTGACAACGTTAACGTCAGTCCAAGTAGTTCATACTCTATACTTCAGCGTGGTTTTTAGATCTAACGTTGGACTTTAATCAATACAAATTTGTAGGTTGAGTTGATGTCGGCTTCATATACGTAATAATATATTGCAACAGCATCGTGACAACTGACAAAGCAGAAAAGACAATATAACCACTGTTTTTTTCTGGATCCATCTGCATTAATTGTAGCTCATTCCACCTGCTTATTGAGTTAATTGTATTTGGTAAAAGCTCGCCAATATTAGGTCTAACCTAAGCAACAACTTGAAACACTACGCTGTTCTAGTCTGTAACAACCTACCTTCAAAACAGCAGCTCTCACAGTGCAGTGTATAAATACAGCACAGGTTTCTTTGTCAGCGTACAGTTGCACCACTTGACTTTAAATAGGCTGCGTCTGTACTGTTTGTACACCACTTCTGGAAAGTCCCAAGTTCAGGGTTGACGAGGTCAAACATAGCCTCGTTTCAAGGCTCACGTCCGCCCCACTTATCCGCTCCTTGGTTATCTATCGTCAAACAGTGCACAGACTAGGAGTGTGGAACTTGAAATCTATAACGTAATAACGGCACGTATCATTGTATTATCGCTTGCTAGCATCTATGACCTTGCACAATACAATGACGTCGCTTAAGCTATAGTCTGACTAACCTCGACAGAATAATTCAATAGAACTTTTACAAGATATCGTATTTTTCCAAGTGTATGCGCTTGCTGGTTTCCTTCTATTGTCGTTTTTTTTTTCAGACGAAAATACAGTAACCGTGGCTAGAGAGTGCAGTTAGAAAAATGATAGTCAGAGTACGTATGTCATGAGAAAGATATTTTCACCGCAGATTTGTCCTTTGAAATAAATATGGGTAGAATAACAAGCAATGGCAGCCATTTTGACAAGGTTAAAAATTATTATTGTCAAATGTTGGGGAGGGGGTATTTTTTTTGGGGGGAGGGGTATTTTTTTAGCCCCACAATTTGACAGTGGTGATATGTATGTGCCCTATATTTTCAACTTTTTAATGGCGCCACCAACGTCAAAATAGTCCGTACCCCCAAACAAAAAATTCTGCGGCCAAAAATGTTGGGCAATTTTTTTTTGAAGAAATTCAAAATTCTAAAAATATTTGGTAATTTTTTTTGAGCACCCTCCCCCCCCCCCCCCCCCCCCTAAGCCAAATCCTGGTGCACCACTGGCTGCCAGCATCGGCTGTAGAGTGCCATTGTGTTGTCAATACATCACCAAAACACAGAGTGCATCGTACACATACGTAGCGGCCTTCAATATACTGTGATGATGAATGTAATACTGCAGAGTGCAGACTGAATATTTAGGAATTAAACCAGTCAGGCATGTCCATCGCAGGCGGCTGCCCAGTCTTCGCCCGCGATGATACGCGTATACGGCTCATGCAATGTAATTTGTTTAAAAGCAATCCTTGAAAATTTGCCTTTGTGTTCCATTTCAGAAATAGTTTTATACCATCGGCCATGCGGGCTTTTAACAATGGGAATTTCTAAATTATAAAATGTGTATACATCAACCCTGTTAGAAATAGTTTTATACCATCAGCACTGTGAGGGTTTTTAACAATTTGGGAACTTTTAATTTATAAAATGTGTATGTATATTGTAATTGTTTGTATATTATTTGTACTAATGTTTTGTGGTAATTGTTTTAACTGTTTTGTATTTCAAATTGAGTCACTTCTACTTTTATGCGAGTCCAACATTACAAATTCCTGTGAATTAATTTAATCATTGGCTGAATAAATCAATCTTAATCTTAATCTGGATCATTTAACCTCATTTTCAGTTTTAGTTTTGCCATTTTTAAGGGTATTTTGGAGCCTTTTTGGTTTTCATGCTGATGCCAATTTCCATATTCATGAGCAAAAGTGTGATGTCATTTCAGGCAGTAATTTATCGTAAGCCAATGATGAAACTTTTCTCACATAACGCTTTCGTACAATGAGCAATTTTTGAGGTTCACAATTTGAACTAAAAAAACCCATAACATTTAACAGTGTCTTCCTGAAATGACATCGCTGCAACAGCGCCCTCCCTCAGTTGTCCGGAAAAACATGCATATCAACTCTACTGTGCACAAAAATGTCAAGCTATATATCACATGTAATTTCGCCATGCCATTGACAGCAACGGAAGAGTTGTACTTGTGCACGCGCGCGCGCGCGCGTTGCTGTCAACATTGGTGGGGCCAACCATTTTGTAATAGGGGTGTTCTGGGATTTAACTATGTATGTGTACATGATGTACAGCAGACGCCGCGGTTTCATCAATTTAATGTCCCTTAGTTTTAATGAAGGGCAAACTTAAAGGATTGGAAACAAAACTAGTCATTTTTTAAATAAAATCAATACATCATATGAACATTTATTAACATCAAACTGATTAAAGATTATGAGAATCAGATAAAACTTTTCATTGGACAGTTAGTTTAAGAGTTTAAAAAAAATCCTTCTATAAACACATGGAGCAAGTTTTTTTCTCTCTTTTACAATAACAAACATTATTTTGAAAGATCAAGTAAACATTATTTTTACCTTGTAACCAATCAAAGGATTAACTGGCTGTACAATAAACCTCTGCATAAACAATTAAACAAATGCCATAGGATTGGCTTTTAATGAAATCAAGATGAGTAAATTGTTATGCAAACATTGACTATTCGTTAACTTGTGTAGGGAACATTGTAATAATTATTCACAACTGCGACAACAACAAGGGATCCGTTTGAAGTATTGACCAGATCTCTCTTGTAATACAATATTTACAAGTAATACAAGTACTCAGTTCATTTATCGGATCTCACAACAATTAGTTCAAATCAAGCTAAAACTTCAAAGTTTTAGAGCAGAAGTTATGCCACAACAAGCTCTTCATTATCTTTAATCTGGGATAGAACCTTTACTGACCATTGAGCATGTTTTAATATTATGCCCGCTAGCTCCACAACATGAACATGACTGCATTTGGATTTCTCTACTACAGGTTGGGGACAGCATTTCTATCCTATTCTGTTTCTGCATTATCTGTTTAAAGGCTACTAATCCCTTATGGTTGGATGCTTTGAAAAAACTTTCTTTCACTTGATCATTCATCTTTTCAAACGACTGCTGTGAGAAGTGGTTTATGCATCCTCCATGAAGTAGAATTGCTTCTCCAACATGCATCGCTAAGATGTGCATGTACAAAGTAACATCTTTGGTCTGGTATGTAGAGGCATAGAAAGTAACCCATGATTTTGCCAATTCTTTGAATTTTATTAGCTTTTCACCCTGAATGTTATCTTTTGTCATGCTCATAAGAATTTTAAAGTCATTCCATATCTTAATCACATCTTGTAGTGTGGTTAGCCAGGGCATCATATCACCAAGAGAAATTCTTTCCTGTATTTTTTTGTGTTCTGGCCCAATAAAACATCGGTAGTTCATGACATCTTTTGCATCTGTGGAGAAATGCCATTCGATTCCTATAGAACGAACAAACTTTTCAAAGTTTTCGATTTTGGGTGTTTCATTTTTGTGAGATTTTGTGTTTTTTATTTGGTTATCCCTCGTTCTTAGCTCTTGTAAAAGCTTTCTTATTAGCTGATCAGATATTCTCAGGTACAGGTGAAGAAGATCGGGAACTATAAACTTAATGTCTATTGCTCTGAAAATCGGTGAACGAAGACAATTGAACTTCTTTTTCCTACTGCCTGACCACTGTGCCATTTCATTTATCTCATGAACTGTGCGGGCCCCTTTAATCGTGTCAAGCATTGACCATTCTTTAGACATATCATAAAAACAATCTGAGGGGCACTTGCAAAACACACAACTGTGAATGCTTGAGCAAGCACCAAGTCCGTACATCTCATTCAGAAATTTTAGGTCGGCACACATGTAGAATGCAGGTTTGATTACTTTACCGCGGATGTGAAGTTCTTTCAAATTCTGTACATCATCTAGAAGACCGGCCGCCTCCAAAATTGGCTTGAAGGAGTCATACTTCTCAGGCTGCTTAGCAATGATTAACAAGAAGTTTTGACTCTGATTGAATTTTGTTATTATACTGAAGGCAATATTGGTCACTGGAATTCTGGAGCCTATCGATGTCCCATCCCCTGAGATTTTGATTTGAACTGTACCTCCATCTATTAACTCTGCATCATTCATTCGTGATACACTTTGAATTAGTTTATCTTCCAAACGTTGAGTCACACCCCTGAGTTCATTATGCACCTGAAAATTAAACATTGAGTTCAGTTCAGCAGCCTTTCTCTTTATGCTATACAAAGATGGCCATAGGCCATTGCTTGTCAATGCAAATTCTTGATATGTTTTATCAGAAGTACAACTCATGTCTTTAAGATATAACATCTGCTCTACACTTGGCTGATGATTTTGCGGAGCGTGTGTAAAGTCGCAGTTCACAACATTGCCATATTGGTCACTGTAAACAAGTTTGTGGGGTTCAAGTCCTCCTGTACGCAGTAAGCTGCAAATGAGGTCAGCACTTTCTGTTGTCTTGATTTTGTTCTTCGATACCCACTGCCGACTGTATTTAGCTTTTGAAGCAACATTCCTGGTGGGCCTTAATCTACGCTTTATCAAACGGTTCACGATTTGTTTGGTCTGTTTGGCTTCCTTTTTGTTCCTTTTTGCTTCCCTTTTAGCATTTTTAGCCTTCAACAAAGCTGCTTTTGTTTTTCCCTCTGCAATCTTTCTTTTCTTTTTTTCATTCTGAAGCTCTTCAAGTGCTTTCCTTTTAGTACCTCCTAACTTAAGCCTGTACTTCTCATTTTCCCAAAACTTAAGAAGACTAGAAACTTGCCTACCTCCTTTTTTCAATGCTGCTTTTAGGTTTGCTTGCATGTGTTTTATTTTACTGAGTAGTCTTGTTGATGTTTTTTGCAATTCAACATATTTTGAATCAATTCCATTTAATTTGCAAATCTTATCCAACACATCTTGGGCACACTCGATTGAATGGTATACCGAATCACTTTCTCTAACCAGCTTATGCAAGACAAGTAGATTTATCTCCAAAACCCAATCAACAGAGTCGTCAAAATTGAGTGGATGGCAATCAACCTTATGCTTAGGGGTAAAGTAAATGGTACAAAAAATAATTAAAACATAAAATGTAAAATATGGAGACATCAGTCCAATTAGTTACTCCAAAATATTCAGCTGACCCTTATTGCCCATTAACTTCACAAACCTGAAAACAAACATGTATCCTCTGTGCTTGAGAGTTTTAGTCAGTTTTGGAGTGTATTCCTCAAGGCAGCGTCGTTCAGTCAACCAGAGTCTTATGGTTGAACCATCAATATAGCTGAAATCTCCTGATTGGTTGACGATTCTATACCACCAGTTTGGTTCAAGAATAGAAGAAATGTTTTCCTTTTTTGCTCGATATTTCTTTCCATCAGCAACAGCTTTGATGTCCTGGACAAAGGATCTGAAACTAGATCTTTGTATCGATATGCGAAGAGTGATCTCAGAGTTCTCCACCCTTGAACAGTTTAGATGTTCTTTAATCTTTACCTGCAAGTCACTTTTGAAGAATTTGTAAGCATCATCATCTTCGTGATCCAGGTTTACAATATCTTCCTCCAACCGCCATTCATCGTATCTGCTGGGCCAACCTCTATAGTGGACCAAAACCTCCTTGTACTCTCTGCTCCCATCATTTACTACACGCTCATCGAGAACAACTAGTTTAAACAACTCATTTTTCGACCATTTGTTTTCTTGGCATCTGATCACTTTCAGTCTGGGTCCATTGTGAAGTGTCTTGTAATCAACTTTCTTCCTATTTCTTGTTTCTGTCATATCCTGTGTAAAAAAAAATATATAATATACTAAAATTATATGTATGTAAACAAAACGTGTGTATTCAATGTCTTCCCCCAATTAAATTTAAGATTTAAGTGCGCTATGGTTAAGGTTGTCATGAACGACAGCGTGAACACCGTGCGTGACACAATCATGAACCCCACACATGGAATGAACTGGTCCAACGGCCACGCGAACCTACAGCATCATGGCTGGCTAACAACAATTTATGCGGTTTTCAAACGGCTATTTTTTCATGTTCTCTTCAACAAATCAAAACTTTAATGACACAGATTGAGCTACAGGATATTACCTTTAGAATGGTACCTCTATTGTGTAAAAATTCAAGAGAAAAGGGAGTCAAAACTTACGTGTAGTTAGGCGTATGTTTGCGTTGCTCATGGACATGGTCCATCCGTCGTCGTGTGTAGCATAGTTTTGTGCACAACTATTGACGAATCATAAGCAGCGTTTCAAGTTCTATCAGTAAATAGACAGGGGGAAATATGGACCAATAGCATCAAGCTATACATAGCCATTTAGCTGGTATTTTACCCCCTCTGTCGTTCGTTGAACGAAGACTGTGCAGCGCGGAATATTGGAGTTATGGTGTTTGAAAGATTGCGGCGAGCCACAAACGTCGGGTTTTGGACGGCGTTCTCCACACAACTTCTGAGAAAATTGAGTTTCATTTAAACAAAATGACAGAGGTTATTATCGTTTACACAAACTGAAATTTCCACAGACAAAAGTTAGATATCTACTTGTTAGTTTGCCATTTGAACGAAAAAAATGCGAGTTCGGGTTTTTGAGTTGTGTGACAAAATATCCCATTTTCCAACACAATTTGCATTTTTGTATCAACATTTAGAGCGCTGCGCTGGTTTAAACGTTAGCTTGACGGGAAGAATTCATATGACAATTATAAATGTGAACTTTTCAATAAAATTAACAAAAAGGGATGTTAAATAGTTTTCATACATAAGGAGGGTAGAAAGTTGCACAAAATATGTTCATAAGAAAAAAAACTGTAGGCCTATGTGTCTGTCTAACTTCACCAAACACAAGGCCTCTCCTCTCTTCCAGTGTTGTAGTACTCGGTACTCGTACTCGAGTACTACTCGGATACTTTTTTGGGGAGTACTCGACATGTCGAAATTGTACTCGATCATCAAAGTACTCGTACTCGAATAGCAGTACTGGGGGGGGGGGTGGTATAGCTTGACTTACCATGCCAAGGCCTTACTTTATCGATACTTTCAGTTTGTTTTGTAGAGAAATCGAAGTTTCCTGATTTCCTCTGTGCACGTCCGGACAAACACATGTAACAGCTAGCCGTGAGTGGGTCTGTATGTTGGTCTGACTGGGCCTGGGCCAATTACGCACAATGAACCATTTGCCGTATGGCCGTATTGGGAAATACAAGTACTCGTACTCGTACTCGTATACTCGGAAGTACAAGTACTCGTACTCGTACTCGGATCGGAAGTACGAGTACTCGTCCTCTGAGACCTGTTCATGTACTCGGAGGTACAAGTACTCGTACTCCGCAACCTAAGTACTGGGCATTACTCAGTACTCGGCAAAAAGTACTCGACTTCAACACTTCTAACCGATGACATTTTGTTTACAAATTAGATGTTGTTGTCACGTGATGCCAACTTTCGGCATACCGTTCTCTTCTGCACTGATGCAGTACTTTCACTTTCAAGGAAAATTCCTTATTTTAAGGAATTGTTTTTACATTAGATAGACTTTCTAAGGAAATGGGGGGAAAATGAGGACATTTTGAGGAAATACCCCAAATCTAAGGAAATTTTAAGGAAATTATTAAAGTCTGAGCAAATTCTACAATCCTCTCAAAAATTATTAGCAAAGTTCTATAATCATCACAAAAATTAATAGCAAATACTACAATATTCTCAAAAATTTAGTTGTTTTATTGAATGTCCTGACCGTTTCAGAATGACTTGAAACAAGACTAGAAATAAAACTTGCTGCGTATGCGCTCAAATTAATTATCGATTTTTTTTGTTTTTGATTTTTTTCAAAAAGAAACCGTATATTTTGATCACTGTCCTCTGCTTACCCTCTACCAAACAAGGAAAGTAGAAAATTAGCTGCTTTGGGGTTTTTTTTCTTAAGGGAAATTGGGGAGAAAATAAGAAAATGTGACTTTCAGGATAAGGAAAGTTTGATTGTGAAAGCACTGACTGTACTATTTAGGCCTACCTTTTAAAATGAGATTGGTGTGAAATAAAGGTGGTGACAGGCAACTCAAGGTATCTGTTTGCCTGTCAAATGGTTTGTAGCTTTTTTTGGGCGCCAATTCCACAATACTATGCATTTTATAGAGTTCAGCTCAATATGCGTGGGATTCGCTAATTGGCAATACTCATTCTGATACATTATTTACGATTGTAAAGCCTACACTACGTCAGAGAAATCCGCGGAATAAAACGTCCGTTGATAATATTGTCCTATACCATCGTATTTAATCTCTTTCTTCTCATACAAAGTATGAACCTTCACAATTAGTGGCTCTCAAGCGTGACTGGGGATTAGAATCAACTTAGTTTTCCTGAAAGTGTTGTCATGGTGACGCTCGTCATAATTGGAATTGCAGTTGTACTGTGGCGGAAGGTTGTGGCCACCAGAGTGTTACGTTCCATCCTGCGATGTGCAAACATGAAGTGAGACAAAAGGATGATATTTCAGAATAATATATTGGACATTAGGCATTAACATGTTAACGGGCCCATGACATGAATTTACTTGGAAACATATTTTGTGCAAATATATCTACTCCTCTTTTTGGCATTACACATAAATTGTTGGTTAATCTTAGTGAAAAGTGAGCATTAAAAACAAATCCATGTTTTCCCGACAAAATAGGCGCTGTTGCTGTGACGTCATTTCAGGAAGACACTGCTCAGTTTCGGGGTTTTCTGTTCAAATTGTGAACCCAAAAATGTGCTCATTGAAAACATTTGCGGGAAAACTTTGCTCGCTGGTCTAGTTTCGTGTACTAAAACCTCATAACCACATAAAGAAAACACAATTCACGGCAGTAACACGTCAAAATTCTGGCAACCTTTTTGGTGCTGAAACATCTGTAACATTGAGGTTTCTGCCTGAAATGACATCACACTTTTGCTCATGAATATGCAAGTTTGCATTAACTTAAAACCAAAATAATCACCAAAAAGTTCTTTTAGAGTTCTTTTGCCATTTAAAAAGAAATGGTAAAATCAATATTCAAAATAAGGTTAAATGGGACATAAAGGTGCATTTACATGGACTGTATTTCAAAAAAAAAATCACATTACATGGGCCCTTTTGATGAAAGAAAGCTATATGCGAGAGCACAGCTACAGGTGAGTCAAAAAGAAAGTACCGGCAACCGAATTAAAAAAAAAATTAAAATTAATGTGTGGCTCGCTCCATTTCATAAAAAATAACAAGGGGATAAAGTAAATGTTTTAACAAGAATAACTGTGAAAATTATCGTAATTTGCATACTCGATTCCCCAGTTATGTATATTTTTGCCAAGTGGGTCCCTAAATCAATTAAAGGGAAGATACAGCATTTGCAAACATCAAAAAATGAAATGATCAAATTATCACGAAACATCTTACTGGATTGTTAGGGAATGACATTCTAAAGCACCCTGTAAAATCGTGGCTCCTGGTGTACTGACATTCTCAAGAAAAATGGTATTTTTCCAACGCTGGTCGGCCGACCAGCGTTGGGAGAAAACTGGCTCTTAATTTTTCGTAATTAGTTTTCCGCATTTTCTTTGCAATTGATTACGCACCTGTGAAGGGGTACAAGCCTGCCAGACTGATTCTCTGACCTTACAATTCCCCAAAGTCCACAAACTGCTCCATTTCATCTTAAGTGGGGTCAGGGAACCAGAGTACAAGAACATTATGTTTTTCTTGGTTTTTCTTGAAAATTGCAGCAAGAGCAAATGTTTTACATTCCCTTTAAGTGAAAGGTTGTAAATTTAAAGGCCACTCTCACCTGTGATGTCACCAACTTCAGTGCATCCATGCAGCATGTCCGGGAGAGAGTGCCCTAAGAAAAAATTGCACACTTTCACTTAATTCATTGTATTTCTGGATCTAGGGAACCACATGCATGAAATGGGGTAAAAAGAGCTGGATTGGGAAATACACAGGCTTTAATGTAATCATTTTATTCAGGAAAAAAACATGAAACAGTTTTAATTATTTCTTTTCTGAATGTTGCACTTTCTTGACACACTCTGTTCTCCATTGGTGTATTAAATTTGATTGCTTTTTAAGCACAACAAATATTATTGACTCACAAATATCATTGACTGTATTATTCTTAACGGATAATTTGCTCAAGCTGTTCCCCTTGCATTATGATGGACGTTTGTATTATTAATGAAAGCTATATGCAAGTGCCTAATTTTTTTTTACGGCTCAAAGTAGGCCTATTCCCGTTGTACAATTCTGATGGGCGTTTCTATTATTCTACGACAGGCATAATCTATATTTTATAATATAGATTATTTCTCATCACATATGGCCAATAGGATCATTTGGTTAAAAGCGTATAGACATGTAATACGATATTTATGTGTACACTTACTTGTACACTGTGTGTCGTATGTACCGTGCACCAGAACTCATATTTGTCGCAGATATTATGAAGACATAATGGAATACATGCGTTTGATTAAGAAAAAATATCATCTCACAAGTTTGATATTAAGTATTTTAGATTGGCTAACCGACGTTTCAGGAGGCTCTTGGCAGTCATCTTCAGCTAACCATCTAAAGGCGTCACTGAAACCAGTCCAGTTTGGTTAAACAAAAAAAACGAACAAAGCACTTAATCTGATTATTTTAAATATCATGACAGTTCGAAAACAGGAATAATCTTGCACTATATGCTCTCTATAAGATATGAAATTAAGGCTACTTCTTTCCGCTGTATACGATCGGAATTAATCTTCCGAAAGGGACTTCAAAGGCGATATTTTGTGACCAATATCTTATGACGGAGAAGGTGGTCGCGACGGAATGCAATTATCGTCACAGCACACCCCGGTGAAAAATGAGTTTTCTCCCGCCCCTCGGAAAATTGGCGATGCGTGCCTAGTGATGTGACGATGACGCAGTATAATACGGAACTTCTCCTCGACGGAACCTCATTCACAGACAACTAATCATCGCTTTTGAGAGTCTGCAACATTCCTCGGGACTTGTTGATTTGCTTGGGATTATACTTGAGGCTTTTACACGCGGCGTTTTTTGAGTCGATTTCTGATGAGGTGAATCATACCGATCCATCATCGGCGCCTGGCGCCGCTGCGCGGGCAGAAAGGCAAAAATTAGCCGTGCATCGCTTGCCAGGGACCGGCGACGGGAATTGCCACCATCCGCTGACACCAAAGAACCATCTTTAAGGTAAACAAACCAAAATACGCGTCAATAAGATGACGGTGTTTCCTGCACGAGAGATAAACAGATTTTCAAAAAACTCGATCTTCTCTACGGCTGGGATGTAAACAAGCAGTCGACGCTTCGGGTATCCGAAGAAGACGCTATCGTATAATCAAACGCCAGAAACCGCATCTTCGGCGGTAAATCTCCTTGGCAACAGTTTTGGCTGCTGCTGCTGATGATGATGATGATGATGACGGGAGAGGACTGCGTGGCTTGTTTTTTTTTTAATTCGAGAGGAATCGGAAAACTCCCGATGGTTTAATGGACCGGTGAATTACATATACACTGTCGGAGCGTAGACCGGCCAGTGTTTACAACTCGGCTTGAGATGCCGATTCCGATTTATACCAAAGATGGTGATCAGTAACAAGATATGGAGCAAAGCATGGATAAAAGGATTCCACCCAGTATGAGGG